AAGGTAATATAAAATTATAATTTTATATTAGGATAAAATCATATTTTTTAACGATTATATTAATATATATCAACGAAAAGTGGTTATGTGTTACACATGCATAAACATCATGAGATGTAAGGAGAATATTCTAAATGTGAAGGAGTTCAAATGATTAAGTGACAAACATGAGGGGATCAATGTATAATTTATTAATTTAATTTTAGGTGCACATTGATACAAATTTCTATCTTTGAAGGTGCAAATTGAGATTTTTTATCTTTGGGGATGCACATTGATACAAATTTCTATCTTTGAGAGTACAAATTGAGATTTTTGATCTTTGGGGATGCACATTGATACAAATTTTTATCTTTGAGGGTATAAATTGAGATTTTTGATCTTTGAGGGTATAAATTGAGATTCGAACAATCTTTCGAGATGCAAAATGAGATTAACCCAATAATATATCCTTACCCGAATCTCGATCCACCCGTTTGATAACTTATGGGGGTAAGATCTTAGGCCTATTTTACCTAAATTCAACTCTAGCTTTTTTTTACGGGCCTAACCTGCCCAACCCGTGGACACCCCCTGCTTGTACTTCCTTACACATATCCCCCCTCCCAAACACACACACATACACTCTCTCTCTCTATCTCCCTGTTTTGGCCTTTTCCCCATGGATGCAAAATCCCACTTCTTTTTGAAATTAAAGTTATCAAAAGTCTTGTTGATTCACGAAGAGTACCAAGTCAATTGGAAGAAAAAAAAAATCTTTCTACATTTATTATTTCGCTTTGAAAGTTATAAATCCAAGTGTAGGTGTTAAAAAAATTGTATTTCTTAGTAGAGTCTAAGATCAAACTACTGGAAAATGGAAATTTTAGAGTGAAAAAGAATCAATAAGAGAACATATGTTATGTGTTTGAGAGAGTGATTTGGTTATTGAAATTTTAAAACAAATAAACTAAAATTGCTTAGCAAAAATGATTTGGAAAAAATACTAAGACGTTATATACTACTTCAGTTACACTTGGGGTAGTAAATTAATCCTAATTTTCAATCATAGGATAAATCAACTAATTAGATGTAAACATTAACAATTCAACCCCAGCATGTATATCTAATTATTTTACTCATAGAGAATCTCAAATTTTTATCGCATTTAGCATAGTAATTCAAGAGACTATATGGAGAAATTTTTTTACTAAAATAGAACGTATTGAACCATTAAAGAAAACATCAATTAAATCACATAGAATTAATTACATACCCAAGTATATTAAATTTTCTCCTACCCTTAGTGTAAGAGATTAGTCAGTCATAGATTGGAGCTAATCACAAATTACACAAGAGTTAATGAAGAAAATCATAAAAATGCTTTTAGATCTAAAAAACTTAAAATTCTACAGAAAAGTACAGACTATTTTTTGCCAAATTGGGGAAGATAATCCAACCTCGTGTCATCGAACTTCTTTGATTGGCTAGAGGTAAGGACATGCGTCCAGGCGTGGATATAATGATGTCCGAACACGATTTTTGGATTTACACACGTTCGGATGTGATTATTATTTTATTTGGACACAAAAAACTTAGAGTCTTTGCATTTTTTCTTCTGATTTGGAAACTCACTTCCAGACTTGGACATATGACACCCGGACGTGGGTTTCAGAACTCTATTTCTTCAATGCTCTTCTTTTGTGTGTGTGTGTGTTATCCTCTCCCTGTTTGCATTTTTGCCTTGTTATCTTGCCATTTTTCCTGTAAAAATAGATAAACATCAATTAAATTATGATAAAATCAAATATAGTATTAATCTCATACAATTAAGTCTAAACTTATGATAATGGGCTCACAAATGATACAATAAATATGCAATATTTAAGACTAATCATTCAAACAAACCAAAGCTATGAATCAATCTTATACATCTTTTAAATACTAACACCTAGTAATCCTAAATTGCTTGGAAACCCAAGTTTGTGAGTATTCGTTTCGAAGGTTACATGGTTGGATTGGGGTAGGTTAAAAGTTGGGGTTGACCTTGAATTCATCAGCCTAAGTAAATCCATCGGTTTATTTATCCCTTCTGAAGTTGATACCAATGACCCATGGGTTGTGTGGATAAGCTGGTGACCTTTTTCCTTACCGATACGATAACATGTAAATTTATTGCCATAATAGTCGATTCTACAATTTCGTAAGTCTTAGTCTGTGCAACCACGGCTCGACTCGGCCCAAAGCCCGTGGACATGGCTCTTCAAGGGTCCGAGGTAGTTTACCCAAGGTCAATGTTTTTCTAACACATTTTTTCATGAAAAAATAACACCCCAATTTAGTCCTCATTAACAAGGTCCATGAATTTAGGGGTCTAAATTGAAGCAAGTGACCTTGTGTATTCTATATCGCTCAAAATGCCAACCAATTTTTCCTGGAAAATAATGCAGGAAAATAGTCGAAGAGATGTTCACCTACTTCATCAAGACAGCTCAGCTTTTGGAGAGCATTATAAGTGAGTGCTTAGGTCTCCCTCCCAACTTCCTCAAAGAGTACAATCATGATCGAAGCTGGGATTTCATGACGGCTCTGCGTTACTTTCCAGCAACTGAAACTGAGAACAATGGTGTATCCGAACACGAAGATGGAAATCTCATCACCTTTGTGGTCCAGGACGAAATCGGAGGCCTAGAAGTTCGAAAAGACGGGCAATGGATTCCTGTCACTCCCATTGAAGGCACATTGGTTGTCAATGTCAGCGATGTTATTCAGGTTTTCTCTATCTTCCTATAGCATTACTCTATCTAAAATTATTAATCGAGTAGAGTCTGTCCAATTTAAATATATGGTATTTGATTAAGCTTAGTTGCGATCGGTCGAGTTCCGCTACTGAGTTTGGAGTCTAGCCAAAGCTCGGCTAAATATAAACTCGCTAGCATTTGAGGTGAACTCAAGCCATAAACAAGTACAATTTCTCGACAAAATTTCCAAAAAAATTGAACCCCATAACCAAATAATCAGTTTCTGCACAATAATATTCCGAAATCTGCATAATCAGTAAGTTCGATTTTCTCAAAAATTTATAAAAGAGAGGAAGAGAGAAGCGCTTGAGGCCTGGAACTAACATGTAAGCCAAAATCTGAGTTAAGTCTAAGACGGGCTCGGGCTGCTTGGATCATTTAACGTCCCTTAAGCTAGATGAAAATATTGGGCAGGTGCTAAGCAACAACAAATTCAAGAGTGCGACCCACAGAGTGTTAAGATCCAAGGGGAGAGACCGTCATTCCTTCGCCTTCTTCTACAACTTACAAGGAGACAAGTGGGTTGAACCACTGTCACAGTTCACCACGGAGATCGGAGAGCCACCGAAGTACAGGGGGTTTCTGCTCAAAGATTACCAAGCTCTAAGGATGAGAAATAAGACCCACCCACCATCTCGACCCGAAGATGTGATCCATATTACCCACTACGCCATTTCTACCTAGCTAGCAAAGAAGAAACTTGTCAATCCAGCAGACCTACCATGTTTCGGGTGCAGTTGCTTCCATTTTGTGTGATGTTGATTAAGAAAAATAAAGAGTTCATGATTGTATGTTGTTTGTACCTGTGATGTTATGGATTCATCGTGTATCTACTGTATGATGATAGTCCTTTATCTTTCCACCAAAAAATAAGCAGATATATATGGTTTCTGGTTAAATTTCATATGTCACGAGATCCTCTAGTCACATCTTAATTGAGTCAAGATCAGATTAAAGTTACAACTCAATTGGGCTCAAAAAAAGTACGGATCAATCTCAAATTTTTTTAGGGACAATTCTAATAGACACAATTGAGTCATAAGTTGCCTTGTTTGGCTGTAAAATGGTCCGACTGAAAAATAACTTTCCATACTATATTGATAAAAACTTGTTATGTTAGAATCAAAGTTGTATTTGTTTCTTCTAAAATGATCGAAAAATTTGGGTTGTAGAAATCGAAACATATCATTGATTGAATGTCAAAATTCTCACTCCTTGAAGCGTTTCAAAATGTATTTGGCAGTTTTGAGATGTTTCAGATGATAATTACAAATATTTGTTTGCTTTGATTTGGATTCCCATAGGTTTTTGAAATAATTTGAGACATTTCTGTTTTTGAATGGAGAGATAGAACGTACCTATTGAAACAAAATTTTGGTCTTTACTTTTCAGTACCGTATTTTTCCCTTTATAAGTTGATGTTATCATTAATTAAGAAAATTTTTAGTGTGTAGGCACCTTCAATTCCTATTACTTGGGTTTCAGTTTAAAAACAAAAAAAAAGGCGTGGTTCTTGCCAAACCTTTGGATCACGATCAATTGCCCAAACATTTACTTGAACGATAGAGTCCCGAGGGACATCATAGCTACTGATCTTGACATTGGTATTGGCCTTACGGGGAAGCATCATGACAGTAGGAGGGCGCAGCCTTAGCGCCTCCTTGACAATACATTGCAAGTAAGGAAGATTGGGTATGTCTCACTGGTTCACCACACGACTCGTTCCAATAACAAGGTCCAGCTCCTCTTGGTCATAATTTGTATGGCCCTTGGGTTCTTGATCAGCTGGCCTATGGCCCATTCCACAGGCTCCGCATTTGTGTCTGAGCCTGCACTGATCATGTCTCAGGGAAGTCTCACTAATTGTGTACTCACAAAGGTCGTAGTCTGCTTGCAATGCATCCCCAAAATGTTACATGGCCCCATCACTCTCACCAAGCCTGTGCTCTTCCAAGATAGATCGGCGTTCTCTTCAGGGCCATGTGCTTGTCCAATTCTTTTTCCCTAACCCCGAACATAGCGCAAAGTCATGCTATGTGCTCCACAGTTGAAAGTGACTCGATGAGCTTAAATTCATTAGCCATGATTGCCTTAATTACAGACCTTGGTCATCTTTATCGCCCTCCGTACGCATAGCAAGAGCGCCGGCCAAAAACCATTCTTGCAATGTCATTAAATGTAAACTCTCTCGAGTAATTCCTCAGCATCAAACTTTTTCCAAAATTGTTAGGATCCGATTGAGCAGTCTTTGAAAATGGATTCTTCCGTGGCTGTAACTTAATCTTCCCTAATAGGGCAAAGATCTTCAATTCTCTTGACTGAGAACAACTCCAGTGTAAATCTTTCGGAGATAGGAGGAAATTACGAAAAAGAATTGGTAATGTTTTATATATCTAGGAATGATTTTTTTGGATGAGTATGGGGAATTAATTTGTATGAAATAGAGAGTTTTATGGCATCAACAAAGGGTAAATTAATTATAGTGGAGCAAATTCTCGTCCAAAAATCTCATGTAACCCAATTCTGATAAAGATTAAAGCATCGGCCTAAAAACCAATTAGAAATGCTTCTTTCGATTCACCAGAGTTGACAAACTAATTTTGAAATAATTATTTTACATATACGCGCAAATGAAAAACAAGTTAATAAAAATTTCGGTACTTTGTCAATGTTGACCCTTCTAGTCCTTATTTTAACATTTTGAATCTATCAATGAGACTGTTATTAATGTAACATTCTAAGCATTCTCTCGCACAACTCACTACACAGACATTGACTCGATCAATTGGATAAAATAGGGCTCCATGGGGTAGATGACCGGATAATTGTTGTGGTTTTGTGAAGATGGTAAAAGATTCCATTTTGTTCGTTGTTGGCAAGTGTCATCTGAAGGTTGTTATATATTTATAAATTTAAATATAATTTTTTTACTTTTATCGATTGGGAAATAAATTAAATTTTCTAGTTAATATACACATATTTTCGTTTATTTGGTTGTATTCGAATGGAATCCTCCATCTGCAGATGCTAAGTCCTTACAAATTGTGATTCGTAAGTCAATTATACAAAAAGATTTCACGTCATGTATCAAAAAAACTATAAATTTTTTTCGTTTATTTGGCTGTATTTACATGGAATCTTCCATCTGCAGGTTCCAATGTGGATATCTTAATATTTTTCATAATTTATGAAGCACAGATATTTTATTAAAGTTGATATATTCGTATTAGATATGATATCGTCACATATTAAAGGATATGTATCGAATACACATCAAACGTATCTAAAAATAAATAAAATATATAAATACTTCACGGATACTTATCTATGCATAGAAATATGTGTATTTTTTAATTTTGTCATATTGTCGTATCCGATTTTTTAGGATTTTGCCATATTATTGAATCAACACTGTATTGTACTCATATTTTGTATCAGTATTCGTGCTTCCTAATTTATAATAATATGTGTTTGGTTGATTATTGCATTTAAACTTAAAAGATTTGAGCCGTAGTTACCAACTCTACTAATATAAGTACTGAACAGAATGGAAAACAAAGATCAAACACACTCAAACAAATTAACCCGAGTTGGGACTAAGATGGCCAATGAAAATATTCCCACAGTTGACCTCTCTCCTTTCTTCACAAATGGTGATGAAGATGGGAAGAGGAGGGCCAAAGAAAAAATTAGCCAAGCAAGCTCTGAATATGGCTTCTTCAACGTGGTGAACCATGGAGTACCCCTAGCTCTGATAAACCAAGCCATGAAGCTCTCTAAGATGTTTTTCGATACCCCGGACGAGGAGAAGCTCAAGATATTTGTCCTGCGCCTGGGGTGGCTCTCCCCGGCGGTTACTACANTCATCTGAAGGTTGTTATATATTTATAAATTTAAATATAATTTTTTTACTTTTATCGATTGGGAAATAAATTAAATTTTCTAGTTAATATACACATATTTTCGTTTATTTGGTTGTATTCGAATGGAATCCTCCATCTGCAGATGCTAAGTCCTTACAAATTGTGATTCGTAAGTCAATTATACAAAAAGATTTCACGTCATGTATCAAAAAAACTATAAATTTTTTTCGTTTATTTGGCTGTATTTACATGGAATCTTCCATCTGCAGGTTCCAATGTGGATATCTTAATATTTTTCATAATTTATGAAGCACAGATATTTTATTAAAGTTGATATATTCGTATTAGATATGATATCGTCACATATTAAAGGATATGTATCGAATACACATCAAACGTATCTAAAAATAAATAAAATATATAAATACTTCACGGATACTTATCTATGCATAGAAATATGTGTATTTTTTAATTTTGTCATATTGTCGTATCCGATTTTTTAGGATTTTGCCATATTATTGAATCAACACTGTATTGTACTCATATTTTGTATCAGTATTCGTGCTTCCTAATTTATAATAATATGTGTTTGGTTGATTATTGCATTTAAACTTAAAAGATTTGAGCCGTAGTTACCAACTCTACTAATATAAGTACTGAACAGAATGGAAAACAAAGATCAAACACACTCAAACAAATTAACCCGAGTTGGGACTAAGATGGCCAATGAAAATATTCCCACAGTTGACCTCTCTCCTTTCTTCACAAATGGTGATGAAGATGGGAAGAGGAGGGCCAAAGAAAAAATTAGCCAAGCAAGCTCTGAATATGGCTTCTTCAACGTGGTGAACCATGGAGTACCCCTAGCTCTGATAAACCAAGCCATGAAGCTCTCTAAGATGTTTTTCGATACCCCGGACGAGGAGAAGCTCAAGATATTTGTCCTGCGCCTGGGGTGGCTCTCCCCGGCGGTTACTACAAGTTGTTGGGATTTCACACGATTTAAATCCACTAACAAACACACACAATCGAAGAACAAATCAAGAATATAAAGCAATAAAAAACAAGAAAGAACAAGACACAGATTTTACGTGGTTCGGCAATTTGCCTATCGGCCCAAGCCTTCGCTCCATGGACTAAGCCTCAGAAAATTTTCCATTAAAAACCACACAACATTACTTCGGGTCGGGTCATTATCCGGGTCACATATACAAACTAGACTCCATAAAAAAAACCAACACAAGCAGCCGGAGCACTCTTTGGACAAGAATGAGTATGTGGTGGTATATCCCCCGGGTCCAGCTTCAATGCCATCACCGCAAATCCTCCTCAATTGAAGTATGTCTATAGTCTATACTACTATATTTTTTCAAATTTAAATTTAGAGCATCTTGAACTCACTGTCTCAAGGTTATTATGTCAAATTGTGCGATGCTACAATTATGTATATTCATATATAGTGAATTCACGACAAAATAAACAGTCATTTGATGATATGTTTCGTCTATAGACGTGGGCTTCCAAGCAAGACCGCGTACTTTACTGTTTGTTCGTCTCGTGTATAGTTCTAATAACTTACTAATTTTTTGATTACATAATGCAGGAAAATACTCGAAGAGCTATTCACCTACCTCACCAAGACAGCTCAGCTTATGGAGAGCATTATAACTGAGTGTTTAGGTCTCCCTCCCAACTTCCTCAAAGAGTACAATCATGATCGAAGCTGGGATTTCATGGCGACTTTTCGTTACTTCCCCGCAACTGAAACTGAGAACAATGGTGTATCCGAACACGAAGATGGAAATCCCATTACCTTTGTGGTCCAGGATGAAATCGGAGGCCCAGAAGTTCGAAAAGATGGGCAATGGATTCATGTCACTCCCATTGAAGGCACATTGGTTGTCAACGTCGGTGATGTTATTCAGGTAATTTTAAACTTTTACCAGGTATCAATCGAGTTGATTTTTTTGAAATTAAGTTAAGATTGATCAAGTTTTGCTGTTGAGTTGCCCAAGTTCTTACCCGAGCTCAATTCATCAAAGATATACAATCTTTTAGCCACCTGATTTGATATCTAGGTGGACAGTTGCTCAAGAAGTCTTCCCTTTCATTTTCCTTTTCTTTAGAATTTTTAATTATTTAACTATCACTTAATGAATTATGTTTTAATACATGTCTCGTATAACTACCCTTTCACCCCCACTAATTAAATATCACTCTTTCAAACTTTTTGACAAACATAGTTTTATCACCATAACTTTACATAATTATTTTATCTCCCTAATTTTGTTTTTACAATTTTTTATCCAACTTTTTAAATGGTACTGATGATGCACAAATTGGTTTGCACACCACTTGTCAAGTAAACAGTATATAAGTTGAGGGAGAAAGAAGACATGGTTTATAATTGTTCGGTCACTGTGACTTACGTCTACTTTAAATGACAAGGGTCGCCAGTATTTTATTAACTCAAGTATGTAGGGAGAGTAGAAAGTTACAAGTTTTGAGAGGAAAATGAGAGAATAATGCTCAAATGAGTGTGTTGCCCTCCAAATATTAGTGGGGCTTACAATTTATAGTCGTCTCATAACGCATAATAATTAAATAGCTAGCCTAGCAATCATAACAGATTAGGGCCATTTAATAATAATTAAATAGCTGATCCAGCAAAGGTGGCGGCTTCTGCTCAACGGGTGAGACAGTTACAACACTCTCCATATGATTCAGTGAAAGGATGAGGTGAGGGTTGACTCTTTTCAAGATGACGAGGATGAGGCTCTTGAATGACCCTTACTCCAAAGTGACTTAGGAGGAGACTCTTGGATGACCCTTTCTTCGAGGTGATTAGGAGGAGACTCTTAGATGACCCTTTCATGCTCCCCTGTTGGTGTAGCTCATCGAACCTGATGAGCTTGACCGAGTTGATCACATTGGGCTGGACTTGACGGATCTCTTGGAGTTGGACTATAAACTCGGACCGGGCTTATAATTTGAGTCAGACCCTTAGGCTTGGCCCATCATTTGTCCCCCAATGCCCTGCATCTAACAGAACTTGAAAAGGAGGACACTCAGTTTGAATTTGAATTCTCGGCTGACCGACATACTTGGAAAAATTTCAGGAGGCCAAAACATGTGCTTCTAGGCCTTTTTGGACATCTAACAACATTTGATATATTAAGGGCCCTATTTGGAGTAATAGAGCAAAATTTATGGTCAAAATAGCAAGCAGGAGCAAGGTGCATAGTTTTTGGCGATCAGGCAGTTTCTGGGCAAGAACACAGTGTCCTAGGTGAGCAGATAGCCACCTGGGCAAGCAAGCAGATGAAATTTTTTTTAAAAAAAAAAAAAAAAAAACTTCGAGAGGCTAAAACATCTATTTTTTGACATTTTTTGGACTTTTTACAACGTTGGCAATGAGTTTTGTAAGGCTCCTTGAGAGCTTCGATTTAATATATAATAAGAACCGTTTAGAGTTTTAGATCAAAAGTAACGGTTAAAATAACGTGTAGCCCTTTTTAAATCTGAATTTTTTGAAAATTCCTCTTGATCGGCGACCTCCTCCCTTCCAGTAGACTCTTTTTGCTTGTAAGACTCTATTGACTATATAAACACCTTCTTTCACTTCCCTTTTTGGATTTTTGAAAAGATCGTTGTTGTCCCCTGAGAAAAAGAGCAAGGAGCTGAGAGGAGTGGTTTAGGCAAGCAGGAAGCGTTGGGCGCCCAGGTTGTGGCTACCCCAATTTTGGGGAGTAAGCTAGGCGAGAGAGGAATTGGACACCCAGGCTGTGGTGACCCCAATTGGGCGAGCAAATAAAGTGAGAGAGGGAGGCACATAGGTACATGGGCTTGCCTCAGGCGCCACTGGCGTGTAAGCTGGGGGGCGCTGGGGCACGCGTTATGGAAAGGCAAGCAGGCCAGGCGAGCGGGGTTATTGAGGCGGCGATTCATGTTGGGGGAGCAGGCTGTGCATCTTAGCAGTCTTGTCAAATGGGAGTTCATTGAGAGCCCTCACGCAAGAGCTGGGGTGCTGAGGATGCCGAGACCGAGACGGTGACTCATGCCATAGGGACTAAGATATGGGGTGCCAGAGTGGAGGCGCCATTGGCGTTGGGCACCAACTATGAGGCATCTATGGTGCCAGGTGGGATGCCCCATGCAGTGGGTGCTGATGGAAAAGCGCTCATGGTGATCGGTGCCACTGGAGATTAGCCCATGGTACTGGGCACCGTTGGTTGACGATTTTGTTGATCGCGATGGGGGGGTGCGCTGTTTGGAGGCAAGCACAAGTAGAGCTTTTATTGCGTTAGGTGTTAAGCGCGGGGTGCTGTGGTAACAAGGCGATGGTGCTTGATGGACACAAAAGGATGAGGCCCGATTGTTGACATTCAATTTAATGTAGTCCCTTGGGTTGTAGACCACCTGAGTTTCAAGATCCTGCTTAGAGAAGGTAAAAACAATGTTATCCTAAACATCAAAATATCTAACATGATTATTTGGAGAGAAAAAGGTAGGCTGCTTGCGCGAGAACAAAGACAGAGTTTGACAATTACTTGTGAGAGGGTTACACTTTTTGAGACCGAACTTTTGGTGACTCATGAGAGAGTCTTTAAGCTTGAGGTATAGACTGTTTGCTTAAGAGCAAAGTAGAAACAGACCAAGTTTTTGGCGACCCGCGAGAGAGCCACTAAGCTGGAGATAGATTGTGTGCTTGAGAGCAGAGCAGAAATAGGCCAAACTTTTTTGGCGACCCACGAGAGAGCCGCTAAGCTAGAGATAGGTTGTTTGCTTGAGAGCATAGTAGATATAGGTTAAGCTTTGTTTGGCAACCCGCGAGAGAACCGCTAAGCTAGAGATAATTACCTGCTTGACAGAAGAGCAAAGATAAGTCAAGCTTTTGACGACCCATGAGAGAGTCGCTAAGCTGGAGATATAGATTGTTCGCTTAAGAGCAAAGATGGGTCAAGCTTGTGGCAACCTGTAAGATGATTCACCTTACTTGGACCTGTTGATGTCCTTAACATTCATATATTTTTGAGCTTTTGTCAATAGTTCTGGCATGCTCTTTGGTAGTCGCTTCATTATTGAAAAGAGGAAACTCGATGAGCGGAGGCCTCCCAAAAAGGCTATCATGGTGACTTTGTCATTGGACTCCTCGATTTGGAAGACCTCCTTGTTAAAATGAGTGAGGTAACTCCTTAGACTCTCGTCTCAATCCTGTTTTATATTGAGTATATACTGAGTAGATGGGTGGGTAGGCTTCTGCTAGTGGCGTCCACCAAAGAACTATGTCATAAAGGATTTGCTCAGTTCGGCAAAGGAGCCTATGGAGATTGGGGTGAGTTTGGCGAACCATAGTTTTCAAATTTTTTTACAAATATAATTTCATCACCATAACTTTACATAATTATTTTATCTCCCTAATTTTTTTTTTATAATTTTTTATCCTACTTTTTAAATGGTACTGATGATGCACAAATTGGTTTGCACACCACCTGTCAATTAAGCAGTATAAAGTATAGTAAAAAAATTGAGGGAGAGAGAAGACAAAGTTTATAGTGGTTCGGTCGCTGTGACCTACATCCACTTTGAATGGCAAGGGTCACCGGTATTTTATTAACTCAAGTCTGTAGGGAGAGTAGAGAGTTACAAATTTTGAGAGAGAGATGAGAGAATTATGCTCAAATGAGTGTGTTGCCCCCCAAGTGTTGGCAGACTTATAATTTATAGTCGTCTCATAACGCATAATAATTGAATAGCTAGTCTAGCGATCATAACGAATTGGAGTGATTTAATAATAATTAAATAGCTGATTCGGCAGAGGTGGCGACCTCTTCTCAATGTGCGAGACAGTTACAATACTTTGCATAGAACTTGGTGAAAGGATGAAGCGAGGGTTAACTCTTTCCAAGGCGGCAAGTATCAGACTCTTGGATGACCCATACTTTAAGGTGGCTTAGGAAGAGGCTTTTAGATGACCCTTACTCTGAGGTGGTTAGGAGGAGACTCTTAGATGACCCTTGCATGCTTTCCTGCTAATGTAACTCCTCGAACCTAATGAACTTGACCGGGTTGACCACATTGGATTGGACTTGACATATCTCTTGGAGTTTGGCTATAAATTCAGACCGGGTTTATAATTTGAGCCAGGCCGTGGACTTGGCCCATCAAGTACGATGACAATAGAAAGAAAAAGGAGGGGGGGGGGGGGGGGG